TGCGTTGCGTTGGATACGTATCGGCCTTTTTTCACTTTCAAAAATGACACTTCGTCGACCTTCTACCTTCCTTCCATTGTAATATAAACAATACGAACAAAATTAGGATTTGAACTCATTCTTAAATAGAATAAGAAATAAAATTCAAATACTAAATTGAAGATGAAGAATTATGTATGTATGATGTTAGGAATTTTGGTAGAGAAGAGATATAAGATGAAAGAAGAGGTGTAAAGAGTTTGTAAGAGTGAAAAGAGAATATATAGGGTGCACAATGTGACGCCTCTTTTAGGCGTCACATGTGACGCTCAAAAGGAGTGTCACGTTGTGCAGTAAATCTATAATTATTTTTAAAGCTGTAATAAATGCATAATTATTTTATCAAAAAATATTAAATTAATTTTTTTGCGGTCTGCAACTTGTCTTCGAGATTCCTAATTGAACAAAGCTCGTCGTCTGCTAGCGAACTAGCTAGCTACTTAGCTTTTCTCGATTGCAAATTTAAATGTATATAGAATAAGGAGTTTTTTTTTTTAATACGGCACAAGGCCCAAAAACAAGATAATGCTATCTATTTGTTTATATAAACCATAGTGCATAACTTGGGAAGGTGCTTTTACAGTTGAAAACTACTTAAGAAGTCGTTGAAATTTTTATTTGTTCGGAAATCTTAATTTTTAAAAATATAATTTTTGCATTTAGTTTATGATAATATTTGAAAATTTAAAATTTAGAAAAATTCAGTTTTTCGAGAATTTCTCGAAATCCCACATACCAAACGCCCCCTGAAGCTTTTGGGCTAGTGGTATCTGATGATATTCGAATTTATACGAGTAATTTTTGAATTTGATATTTGTTTTGGTAAGTTTGCATTTATTAAAGGATTTAATATTTTTATTTTTATTTCAAAAATTATTTTTTATCACACTCATATAAAAGCGAGTGACTTCTATTAATTTTTTCTTTTTTTTTTTCCTTCAAAATAGAACTCACTCATTTTTACGTGAGGTGATAGAGAACAAATTTTTGCAGTAAAAAAGAAAAATATTTGTTCCTTTATTAAATATGAACAAATCAACGAGAGCAGATATATCCTAACCAAAAATAAAAAAATAAAAGGAAATAATCATTATGAATAATGTAAATATGTTATTTTTTTATATTTAATAAAGAATGTAATGAATGATGGGAACATCCGTATACTACTGAAAATACTTTCGTTGTATCTCAAAAAAAAAATATTTTCGTTAAATATAAGCTTGGTAAAATAATAATAGGGTCAAGATCATTTTACACCAGTGTAAGTTACACTCTCAGTCTTGACCATTGATCCTATTTATATCTAAGGACTCTAATTTTTTAGTAATGTGAGCCATTAGATACAAGTGGATCAATTATCAAGATTGAGTGTAAGACTTCTAACTCTTACACTGGTGTAGGAATATCCTGCTCCATAATAATAATAATAATAATAAGTGCGTGGGTTGGACGCTCTGTTGAATACGTTCATCATCTAGTATCCGATAAAACGTCAGCTATTGAGGGAATGAAGCTTCCAATTCACGCTACTTCATACTTGTTTGTTGCAACAAACGATTCTTGCTCACTCACAAAACTATTTGGTCAAGCTTTTGTTTCGGTTTTTCAAACACAACAGTAGAATGTTGTGTCTTGGTAGGTGATTTTGGAAATGAAAGGAGAAGATTTTCAGGCAATTAAATTTTAATAGAATGTTGATTATGGTGCTGACATGAATGGATAAAAGAATAAATGGTTTCAATTTGGTGATTTTGGAAGTTATTAATCAGCAGCGTTTGTGTGCATATAGAGAGAGAGATAACTGAGAAAATTGTGAAGAGATATTGATAAAGTTGGTTTGATATGAGAGGTGGGGCAAAATCAAATTTTACACGAGGAAAGGAGGTCGGTCAAAGTGTGGTCACACACATGAATCATGATGCACATGCAGCCAACAAAACTACAGATTTAAAAGCATATACGGTTAATATTTAATTTGATAAAGATCACTTTGATGCAACATTATGAATGGGTAGATTTTAATCATTAGAGATGTCAATTTTTTAAATAAATACACTATGTTAAGTATAACTTTAACAATATGTAATATTCAAAATAAATACAAACTTGAGTGTAGATCATATAAGGATATGCGAGGAACAACATCAACATACGTATGATTAAATTTAAAGTGTAATATATTATTCTTTTTAAGCTTTGATATTCTTCAATCCTTGATCATCAACTCGTAATTATTATTAACATAGTTAAAATCTTTTCAAAAATTCTTAAAGCACTACACAATTTTGAGACATTGTACTTTTTCATAAGAAGCTATAACCAAGATTATTTTTGTCTTAACAAATGCAATAGAAAAGCTGTGAGAATGTGCCACAACACACGCTATTAGGGTCCTTGCCAAAAATTTAATCAAACTCCTTGAAAATAAATGTGAAAAATTATAGGAGGTTGAGTAGATATTGAGATTTATAGTTGGTTGGAGGGATTAACATATAATTGTACATAAAATATATATAGATGATACCGACAAGCTACTTTTTGTATTATGCAGAAATTCAAATTTTGAGCTTGCTTTTGATTGGTTAGAGAGATTGTCATTTGCACCTTGTTGTTCTTTAGAAATGGCAAAAGGAATAATTACTGGGGGAAGTTTGCCCTGTTTTAAGCCTCCACTTTCACCAAAATCTATATTTGCATAAATTGTTATTATTTTTACTTATTAAGTTTTAGGATTTGTTTTTTCTGATGTTACTTTAGATAACTTTATCTAATGTTCATCAAAACGACGTCGTCTTAGGACGAAAATTATGGTATTTTTGTAATTTTAATTTATTTAAGGGTTATAATAGTCTTTGTCACTCTAATTTTTTAATTTTTCAATTTCAAAATGACATCGTTTCGATGAACATTAGATAAAGTTATCTAAAGTAATATCTCAAACTTTTTTACCTAAGTTTTATCAGGTAAAATTGTAAATTACTATATTTCTTTCGGCTATGGTCATTCATTTGTTCTCACTTAACTTTTATTTAATAAATCCAGGTGATGAAAAGGCACCGTTGCTTCATAACTTTTTTTTGTTAGTAACTTGGAATGTCTGATACAGCTTACCAAATAGGAGTTACGTCACGTTTAGGAGACATTCAAATTATTATTTTGGGCATCAAAAGGCCATTCACTCAGGGAAGAATAAAAGAAAAGAAAGGAAAAATAAATTATTCAGAAAAAGGGAAAACAACTAATATATCCATTACCAAAAAAAAATTGTTATTTTAAATATGAGATGTGTTTTGTTTGTAATTGTGTAAAAAAAATTTATTTATAATCGATAGTATCATGTTTTAGTTGTAAAAAATTTGTATAGAAAATAGCACAAATAAATTTTTTTATCGATTTAAAATAAAATAAAAACAAGATAACATTTTAATAATTGCTAGTAAAAATAAAAACAAAATATTTTTACAAACTAAACGCACCTTGAACTTTTACATTTCTAATTTTTAGTACAAAAAATAAAATTAAAACAAATAACTAGACTTGAAGAGATAGAGTAAAACAATGTCAACTAAAGATATGAAAGAAATATAATTTTCATGTCTATATTTTTGCCCTTCTTATTAGTCATTTTATTAACAATTCTGTTAGTAAATTCCAAAAAATATATATATATATATATATATATATATATATATATATATATATATATATATATATGGGCTTAACATTTCTGCAGCTGCCGTAGATAGTGTTATCTACAGCTGACCGCCCAAAATGAACCGAGCTCAAATGTCATTTGTAATATCAAATTAAGCACCAAAATTATCATTATATATTTTTAAATATATGTTAGGAAAGGGTGTACAAAGACCGCCCAAGGGAATATCAGAACATGTAGTTAAAATAATCAAAACATGAATTTGAAACTTCCTGCTTGATTACGCTCATATAATTTATTTTTCTTTTTAAACGAGGCATGTTTTATTATTCAACTTCATCGTGATAAAAGACCAAAAGCTTTGTCTCATATTTTTGGTACATAAAGTTTTTTTTTTAAAATATATGAATATGAATTGCAGAATGGGAGATAGCTATTTGTTTGAATGTTTCCCTAAAATCCTACTCTCTACCAAAAACACAATTTAATTTTAAATTAACTATTATCAAACTTGACAAACAATATATATAAATTAGTTACTTATCAAATCATTAATTACACTTATTAAGCTTATATATTTTTGGTATTTTTATCAGGCAGCAACCCATAAAATCAATGGGCTGAAAATATAAGTGGGCTAAGTGAAGAAATATCCGTCAAAGTTTCATACCAGTACATAGCCTATGCCCGTGTTTATTTTTTGGACCACTTGATCATAGGCATCGGCTTCACCAAACCAAAAAACACAACAAATTAGAATAATAACATGTAACTTTACAGATTGCATATCACAAAACATAAAACTCTATAGACCATGAACAATTTTTGCTATATAGAAAAGTTTAGGGTAAAGGATTTCTCCAGTCACCGGAGATAAAATCACGAGCTCAAAACGACATCGTTTTAGGATGGAAATCATGGTATTTTTTTAATGATAATATATTGCAGGATTATATTAGTCTTTATCATTATAATTTTTTAATCTTATAACCCAAAAACGACGTCATTTTGAGCTGGAAGATAGAGAAATAGTTTTTCCAAAAGTTTATTGATGAATCTATTTTGATTTTTAAAAAACAAAAATAGTTTCCGTCATTTTATGTATAGCTAGCCACTTTATGATGATAGACAGACCAACAGCTTAATTGATCATACACTTAAATTCTGCAGAGCTATTTTTTGTTTCATAAGTTAAGTTCATAAAGTAACACTTTCCGTCAATGGAATGCTAACTACATAAAATTTTGGTGAAACAAGGGTCACCATGTTGCAGAAGGTCAAGAATAAACCAAGGCAATAACCGGCGTTAATATTCTCACTAATCACTTCCCATCCATCTAAAGTAGCAACACTTCACTTTTGATACAAACAAAATTCGTACTTACAATTATGCTGACAAAAAAGATGCAAGTGGTGACTACTTTGATTGTGGACTTCTCCACATTAGTTACTATTGTTTAGAACTATTTCATATATTTCTAGAATTCTAGTCAGTTCCCTCGTGCAGCTTATCAGAGTTCCTTTTGTTTGTTGCACCAACCTAACTCTTTAAATAGTACAAAGGCCCTCTCACTTGGGAAGGGTACAAGTAAGGGTAGATTAATCGCAATGTTACATTGCATTTTTTTATCTACGTCCTTTCCTTAAGGCAAGAAAAGAAAAGAAATCTAACCAAAAAGGAAAAATCTTTGTACAAATATTGGTTAAGGCACTATGACTTTGTTCTAACCCTTTTCTTTCCTTTGATAGGTGTTGCAGGCCTTTGACCTGGTGTCCCACGTCCAACCTTTTTTGGTCTACCAAAAGCTTTCTTCTTGACAGGTAAGCATTCCACTGAGGATGGGGAATCAACTTTACTTGGTTTCTTAGCTCCATGTGACAGTGACACCCCAGATGCAGAGTTGCTGCCACCAACTGCTTTTGCAACAATTTTTCTGTTACCTGGTCGTACACTTCTTGGTTTCACATGATGGTTTTGCAAAGGTAATTTAATACACACATTAGCCTCGGTGGCTTTGCTGCTAATACCCTTCAAACTCTCCCTCAATTTTTTGGTTACAATGTCTCTTAGCATTAGAGCAGACTTATATTCACGAGTGCTCTTGGAGTAGAAGACTAAAGAATTGTTAGTTAGTAGCAGCAAGTCTCGGAAAAGTTCTTTGACTGACTTGATTGTTTGGTTGCTAATTCTTGATCTTATTGTGTCAAAGTCCATGTGCCGCCGGATCATTTTCTTGTACCTTCCTCTCTTCTGTTGTAAAATAGGATAGTGCACAATTAATAATGTAATGACTGCATAATGCCTTGAATTTCCACTTGTCAAAAGGAATACAATGCAAAGATGCAATTTGTACATAGGCAGCTTAATGATGTGTTCTTGGTGATGGCAGAAGAGGTGAAAATTGATAAAATATAAAATACAGACGAGAGAAAATGGAGTAATGAGAAATTTCGATTTTCACTTGTAAGTTCTTTGTGGAAGATGTTTTAAAAGAAAAGGTTAGTGAAATTTATATTCATCCCTGTTGCCTAGTATTTGCAAAACTAGAGAATGAAATGTATAATTTCATAATTATTATATTTTTTCTTATTAATAATATTTTTATCCAAAATATTTAAAAGTAGTAAAACCATCAAATACTTTGTTTGAACTCTTGAACATTGAACCTCACCTATTTTTCATTCTCAAATGTAATGAAATTTATTTGTTAAGGTGGTAAATACAATATGCTAACTACTTCATTTTCATTCTTCCCATTTTATTCTCTCAAAGAATGCATTTATTTCCAATTCCTCTTATTATACCAAATCCCCTCACCCTGCCCTTTCCCCATGTTGTCTCTCTTTTATGAACCCTCGTATTTGACCAAAACAAAATCACCCTAGAGAACTATCACTAGTCACTGACTCACTAGATAAAGGTCAACATCCATTTATCTATCATCAAAAGCTTTGTGATGAGAAAACTCACAAACTAGCTATAAATGTAAAGGGATACGATGGAACTCTTTTAATTACACATACCTGACTATCAAGTCTGCGACGGAAGGCTGAGGCACCTTTAGTTTCGAAAATAGAATCTAAAATCTCCATCATATTTTCAGTCTCATCCTTTTTCAAGTTCCTATTTTGATCATCTAGACCAGAAGATTTGGCAACTTCACCGCAGTTGCTAGTAGAACTTTCTTTACACCATGATACAACATCAGCTGAATCCAGTAAGTCACTTTCTCCCACACTTGCTTCCTTAATATTTATGCCACAACCCTTCCTCTTCCTTTTCCCTCTCCGTTTTTTTAAAGTTCCTCCTTGCCCTTCATATATAGTATGTGCCAACTTATCTACATTCAAAACTTTGACCTGTTCAGTAGAGGGTGAAACTTCAGGCTTAGTCTCCATATCTTCAGCAGACACAGCTGCAACATGGCATTCAGGAGACCAGTTTGTCCTGGTTTCATGTGTGAAACTCCCAGCAGATAGCCCATCCTTTGAGGTATCTTTAGTGGAAGATTCAACTCTCTCCAATTTCTGTGAAGGTACAGGTAATTCTGGACTACCTGAACCATTGTCAACATGACAATCATCTTTTTCCTCATTCTTCCCAGCCTTGAGGAATTCAAGCTTTGATTCAAGAGACCTGAAACAAAGATATTGAGTAAACTATACCCAAAAAAAGCATAGTAGTTTTCCAACAAATATCCCCCATCAGGACTGTGAATTTTAGAGTACCACTTGTGGTAAAAAACTATAAGTAATTGAGACTTGTTATAAACAGCTCCACATTAAACCTCAACTTGCAAGGGTATGGGAAATTGAGACTTGTTAAATTCAAGAATAAATAATTTATTGTCTTGTCACAAAAATCTCCGCTTGAAGAGAAAGATAACCATGCAACTAACCCAATAGAATCTTCAGATAGCTCTAGAGCTCTCTTCAGCTCTGCTACTCTTTTCTTCCTAAGCTCCTCAAACCAAGCCCTGAGAACTCCATTTTACCATAATACAATGAGATACACCATACAACTTCTATGAAATCTTCAAAGGGTATTCATCAAATCTATCTACCTAAGGAAATTTATATAAACAAAAACATTCTACTTACATGGTCCCAGAATACCGCTGTTGCAAGTCTTCATACTTGGCTTTACAGACCTACAAGCACAAGGCGTAGTATAATTCTTGTACCCCAATTTACGTTTAACTTGTACAATTTATCAACGCAGATTAATCCAAAGCTATGATTATGCTTGAGTCAAAACAACGACAAGAAAACACAAAGCATATCCGTTACCTAAATGGCTTATTTTATTGTTCTTATTAATTAAAACAAATTTTTTTTAATACTCTGGACATTTTACACAAAATGGGTATGCTTATAAGGATTTCTCTATGCCATGTGCTGATGCTGATTATCAAAGTTATAATGTATGCCACCTCCGTGACCATGTGCAAGCGATGATGTAGGTGGTGTAACATACTTCGACTAAGTGGTACACCAATGGCGAACAATTCGCACGTGGATGCCACCCATTGTGTATAAGACACGTGTTGTCCACCGAATCGTTACTCTAAAATAGTAAAATCTCTTTTATGTATCTTTAGTTAATAATATTCTTTCCTTAGCAAGTAGGTCGAACGCTTTCCATATTGGAATGGTGTCACAATCTTTGATTTCTGTTACGACCCAAAATAAAAACATTCTTTGACTAATAATTGATTTAACTATATTCTTTTAGCGTATAAACCTATTATTAGACAAATTGGAATAAATTATAAGCAACGAAATCAGATTAACGAGTCAAGAGAGATGGCTCACGAGACACGAGTCACGACCGCGCAATGGTTATGCTTCCGAATTAGAACCAAAATAAAATAAAATAAAATTGCCTGAATATGAATATTTCATTTTCCAAATCTACCTACTTTTTTGGTTGTACTCCTTTTTTAATATTTTCTTGGTTATGTTGTGTGTTTCCATTTATAACCCCTGATATAACGCATTTCCTTACATATGTGTCTTTGACTAGAGGATAATATGGTTCTTTTAGATATAACGCTTCAATATATAAAAAGAGATCTTAAGAACCTATTTGGATCCTTTTATTTTTAAGCTAGAAGTTATTTATAAGCTAAAGCTAAAAAAAATAAGCTAAAAGCTGTTTGAAAATTATATAAAAGTTTTAACTTAAAAATTACTTAAAAGCACATATTTCAAGAAAATTATCTTTCTCTCTATTTTCATCACTCTTCATTTAAAAAAAAAGCACACAATTCAAGAAAAACAGATAAGAGCTTAAAAAAAAGCTCCTCCTAAGAGCTTTTAATTTTCAGCTTTTTTCTTCGTTATAAAAAAAAGAGTTTTTCGTTATAAGAGCTTTTCCCAAAATCTGTTTGGCCTAACTTATGCTTATAAGCAGCTTCTAGCTTAAAAATAAGAGGATCCAAACAGACACTAAATGACATAAGTTATATCATTTTAGGAGAGAGATAGACACAAAAAAACAAAAATCACAGGAGAGAGGAAGTGAGTGATTTTTTTAAATTTAAAATTCAAATTTTCTGTGTCTATATCTCTTTTAAAATGACAAACACTTTTCCCATATAAAAATGGTCCAGAAGATTCCAGGACCGTGCGGGCAGCTTAACAAATACAATAAAAATTGCCCTTTTTAACCTTTTCTTTGTCGTAATGCTGAAAATCAACTTGTACCAAAAATGTAAATAATGGAAATTAGTTAAGGAAAGATAGTAATAATAATTCTTTAAATTATTAAATATCGTTTATGTAATATTCTTAAAATATTAAATGCATATATTTTTTATTTAATCTAAGTTTTTTTATTAAAGAAGATATCCCATTGTAAAGAAAACACATTGGTAAGTGGTAACAACCACCGAATAAACAACGAATTTCGGATTTCAAGTACAAAAATTTAAATGTATGCGAAACTATTTTATTTTTTGTCTTTTTTTATTTTATTTTTAAAAAGAGAGGATAAGAAAATAAAATTCAAATTTATTAATTATTGGTGTTTTCTTACCTCGGGGGTGAAAGTGTACGGACAAACGGTTCGGGCTCGGAGCTCGGCGGCGACGACTTTCCAGTCTCGGGTCCCGTGGCGGAGAACGGCCCCACCGAGGAGGAGCTCCTCCCAAGTGCCCCATCTCCCCGTCACCTCCGTCCCCATCACCGTCCACGTATACGCCCCCTGATCAAAACAACCACCGCCACGATTTTCCTTTTTTAATAATATCCTGCGCAACCGGCTCACGTTAGCAAACGCCGCCCTCGTAAAAAAATAAAACAGCCACCACCCTCTCCGGCAACCGAAAAAACCGGCAAAAGTAGAACGTAAAGTTATTGTGGCAAAAAAAACAGGATTCTGGGAGTCGGAAAACTGGTTTTGGAGATGTGGGTATGGAGAGACAAGGCTGCAAGAGCGGTTTCCCGGCGGGAATTGTGGATAAATAGTTTTTTTTTTTTTTTTCCCGGTTTAAGGTGGTCTCTGTATGTGTTTTATTTTTGTTGGGTTGGTTTTGTTGCGTAAAAGAATGTAAATTAATTAACAGAGTATGCGTGAGACAAGGGGCTGAGGGATTCTATTTGTTGCGCACAGAAAGGTTTGAACTTCGAAGTGAGAAAGAAACTCCTAACAATATTAATCAAAAGCATATCGGAGAAACAATGGACGATAAGCTAATTGACAATTGTATTTTGCTAATTTTAGGGATTCTCCTTTTCTCTCTCCATCCTATTTTCTCTCTCCATTTGGGGAATTTTTTGTGAAATGACGATATGCCCTCCATCCCTTTTCCTATATTCTTCTTGTCTTGTTTTAAAATTTAGAGATTAATGGATACTCTGACAACCAAGTTGTGTTACTATCGAGTGACTACTAATTAATCTCACCGTTAAATCGATTATGTTGATCCAACGGTTATATTTATTTTCTTGTATGGTCATGGTTTCTCAAATTTAATACTTTATATTTATTTCTACCTTTGTATGGTTATGATTTCTCATATTTAATGCTTTTACTTAAAATATGGGAAATCATAACCATATAAAGATGAAAATAAATATAACCGTTAGATCAACATAATCGATCTAACGATGAGATTAATTGTTAGTCACTTGGTAGTAACACAACTTGATTGTCACAATATTCTTCCCCATTAATCTTTAGGAAATATCTCGAAAATGTAAAAGTACGTGAGATTTATATGGAGTTGTGTAAATAAAAGAGAGAAAAAGAAAATATGAATTTTATACACTTATATATATATATAGAAGAGAAAATTATCTCTCATGACATAAATAATATTAATTATTAAAATTTACAATGTTAACATTTTGTATTTTTCACTCTTTTTATAAAATTTATGAATATTTACGAAGAGATATTAGAAAAATAAAACTTGTATGTATAAACTGGGTGTTATTATACGTTGAACATAAGCACTTTTTAATCATATGGTTATGATTTATTCATTAATTATTAACTTTTAATAAATTATTATAATTAAATATACAAAAAATATTAAAAAGTATTATAATTAAATATTTTTATAAATATTCTTGAATTATTATAATTAAATATAAGAAATTTAGTGATTAAAATTTAATATAAGATTTATTATTGTACGTTAATATAAAAAAATTCTAAAAGTATAATCATATATCAATTTGAATTTCGTTGATAGCTTTTTGCAACCAGGTTAACGTTATTCCACAACCAATGAGATAACACTTAGGGGGCGTTTGGTTGATGAATTTTTTTTGAAATAGTAGGGAAATGTAATAGATAGAGAAATGATTGGAAAGATAGATAAAGTGAGATAGGTAGAAAAATGCAAAAAAAAGTTGTTTGGTAGGAAAAAACTTTACTGGGAAAATTAGGTAACTTTATGAAATCAACAGTGCATTAAAGGCCAGATAACCGGTTTTCTGAAAAATCCCACCTTCAAATTGAGTTTCTAAACAGTGCGGATATCTATGTTTCTCATAAATCCATACAAATCGGATAGATGGGTTTTTGGTGAAAATACGTTGAAACAAACATGGTGTTTCTAAAAGTCATACTTGAGAAACATAGATATCTGCTGAAAAGCTCCCAACCAAACACCACCTTAGTGATTTATCTTTAATTTCCATTGAAAGAAAATCTCGTCCTCTCCTAAATATTTAGGTTTTAATATTTTTATAATGAATGTAGACAACTGATCTACATTCACTTCTAAAATGACATCGTTTTGAGTTGAAAAATTAAAAAAATATAATGAAAAAAATTATTATAATCCTAAAATAAACTATAAGTGCAAAAATACCTTGATTTCTGTCCCTAAACAATGTCGTTTCGAGCTCAATGTAGATAATTTATTTATGGGAAAAATATTTCTGCAGTTAATGCAGATAACTTATCTGCATTTATTCCCAAAACGACGTCATTTTGATATTGAAATCTTAAAAAGTTATAAATATAAAGATTATTATAACTCTGAAATAAATTAAAATTACAAAAATACCATAATTTTCGCTCCAAAACGACGTCGTATTAAACTTACTGTAAATAACTTATATGTAGTAACTGCAGAAAAAGCGAACCCTTTATTTATTTAAAAAACCCCAAATATTTATCTTCAAAAAATCGAACCGGCTGAATGCAATGATGTGAGTTTGTTTAGTTTATATTTTGAATTTTAAATTTTAAAATTTACTATTACTTTTTCAAATGGAGTTATCATCATTTAAAGGAAAATTAATTTCACAGTCCTTTTCTCTCTCCTTCTTCTTTTTCTCTCCATCTCTCCTCTCTCTTCCCGGCTTATGTGAGCCAGGTGCACCAAATATTCGCTCAATCTAAAGAGAATCATGACATACAAGAATCCAGTCATCTTATAGACTTTCAGTTAACAGAAATTAGAAAAGACATATATTACAAAAAAAGAAAAAAAAGAAATTAGAAAAGACATATACTTCATCTCACATTCTTCAATTTCATAATCATTTTAATGAATTTGTAATTTAATTGACACACAGTAACCCTATATCATTTTTTTATATATATAACTCTCTTATCCTAGCCAAAATCTTTTTTTCATGTAAATTTACAATGCAAAAAATGTAATTTATTTTACATGAGAAATCTAAACTACCAAATATACTAATATCATGTGTTTGACGTAACCTAAAAAAATAGTGTGATAGGATATTGGTATCATATATGGTGTTTGAAACAAACTATACGGTGTAATGATATGATATCAACATATAAAATATAATTTTTAATGGAATTTCATACCATTTTTTAAAATTAATTTTTTAAACTTATATACACATTAATTTTTATTTTAAAATATTAAAAAAATTTAAAGTCATTATTTTAAATAAAATATATTAAAATATGTAGATAACTTACAAATTTTTTCAAAATATATTAAAGTCATTAGGTATACGTATCCAAATATGGACTTATCATTCGTGAAGGAGATGAAGTATGAGTATCATCCTCTAGCTTTTCTAGACATAGGTCTACATACATCATCAGAATATGGGATCAAGTAACTTATTGGCCCTATGACTAGGGGTGTAAACAGGATAGGCTAGGTTTTGACTTAAATAGGCTAAATTTGTGTAAAAAACTTTGGTCTGGCCTGACTTGTTAGCTTGTGTATGCCCAAGTTACAAATCTGACATGACCTATATTTAAAAAATAAAAGTCTTGGCCTAGGTCTGTTAATCTGTTTAAACCTATTAAACATTTCATAATTAAAAAAATAACTAAAATAATATTATCTTATTATTCAAAATTATTAAAATAATAATTTATTTTATTTTATTTAAAATAAATAATATGATATAGGTTGGTCTATAGGCTTTTAGGTCCAACATGTACAAAAAAAAAACTATGGTATGCTTTCTAAATAGGTTTTTTTAAAGACCTAAGTTTATTCTATTTGACTATTTATAATAGGCTAAGATTAACCTAACATAAGCTAGGTCATAGGCCCATGTAAGTCAGCTTAACTCATTTACACCCCTACCTATGACTCTTAGACCTCTTGAGCTAGATCCTAGTCATTTTCCAACTAGACAAGATTCACATGGCCATAAGATTCCAAACCCATGAAATCAAGGTATTCATCTTCATGTAACTTAGACAATCTTGTTTCATTGATATGTCCTAATCTACAATGCCATAGGTAGAATTGGTTATGTAATCTAGGTCTTTACACGTCAACATTGAGAATTTATGTTCCCATTTCCAAAACATATAGCCCATATACTAAGGATGCTAATATCATTTATGATGATAGAAAACTTGTCATATTTTATTGTAATTGAAAAATCAACTTGTTCCAAACAAGATATAAAGATAATGTTTCTAGAAATACTGGGAATATAAAGACAATAATTATTCAAATACAAAATCAAGCTTGTAGGCATAACAAGGTCTATATTTTCTATAGCTAATACAACAACTCTTACTCCATTTTCACTCTGAGATCCAGCTCATTTTTCTATAATTTCTCAGGATTCTTTAGTACCTTCAACGCATTGTAGATATAAGAACCACAACTGATATTTAATACCTCAATTTTTAAAATTAAGTTTTAAATTAATTGTTATTATTAGTGGTGGCATATAGGGGTGGTCAACTAAAGTGGTGGCGTGGCGTTGACGATTATAGGGGCTCATGGTGATGGGTGGTAAGTGGCAATTATGGGGCTGATCGATGACGATGGCGCCGTGGTTGTTGGTGGCTGGTAGCTTGTGGTGATTGTCAGTGGCAATATTAATTAATGAGTGATTAACTGGCAATGGTAGGAGCAATGGTCGATGGCTAATGGTGGTAGTGGCTGACTAATGACAAGGGCTGACCCTGACGTGCCCAACAAAATTTGTGTAAAAAGAGTATAGGTACATTTGGAATAAGAATGATGTGGCATTTGTTATTGTATTGTGTCCATTTCTAACTCAAGTCTCTCTTACAATAATTTATCATGCTACAAGCTAGATAAAATGAGTCAATAGAATAAACTTATCATATTATGTTAGTTGATAAAAAAATTTATAATAATAAGATATGATAGTTTTTTTTTTTTGGTAAACTATGATAGCTTATTTTATCTATGTCCTATGGGTAGGATGAAATCCTCCTTTCCTAAATTAAATATGTCGTGAGATTGCTAATAGTAAATACAAGTTATTCTTAGACTCCTTGTCAACAAGTCTTCGTTATTATTATTTTTATTTGCTTTTCGACTTTCATTATATTTTTTAGAGGGTAAATTTTTTATTTAATTATGTAAAAATTGTAACAAGATCACGTGGATAAAAGACTAAATTGCTACGTTTTTAGAAACTATGTAGAAATACTAGGGGTTAGAAAATAATTTTCAATAAATCATCATGCATAAGTCCCATTACTAGGTGAATTAACTTTTCTTTTTATTCTGAGATTATAAATTTATAAAATGCAATTCCTAAATTAATAAAGTTTTGAAATATAAGGACATAAATTAAAATAATTGTATACATGTGAATATTTTTTAAAAAAGAAAAGAAAAAGAAAAATTAATTATTAAATTAATTTATTGATAATAAATTAAAATAATTATTACTATTATTAAAAAAAAAATTCGTCGCAAATTTCATAGGAAAAAAAATTTCCGTTGTCTTTCGACAAAGTGTTATCCAACAGTGGAATTCCATCAAAAATTCCGTGAAAAAATTATTTTTCAATGGAATTTTCATAATTTGCAATGAAAAATTCCATAAAAAATATGAATATTTCTAGCATCGCGATGAGTGATAAACTAACTCTTTTTGCTTACCAAAAAAACTAACTCTTTTAAATTTCCTAATTTTTAAAACCTTTCAATCTTTAAGATATTGAAATAAGGGGAAATGATCTCTGTTAATGAAAGAAAATGAGAAAAAAATTAAAATTAATTAGATTTAGATTATTAGTGAACTTTATTTAGAATTTAAAATTGTAAATTTTTGAAATAATTTAAAACTGTTTACGTTCTATTTCACTGAATTAGTTTAAATTTGTATTTCATATGTTTTGAAGAATTTAATTTTTTTATGAGTTTATATATTAAAATTTTCAAAAAGTAAAATAAAAAATCGAAAGAATCTAAACTGATTTAGATTGAATTTATATCTTGAACAGAGTTGATTGAATAATATTATAAGAAAATTACTTTAATTAGATCGATTAAATTTTTATTTTTTAAATTGATATAATTTAATCTTCAAACACTCATAATAAATTATGTAATAGGTAATATACAATCAACCTCAAAAAATGGATAATTTTCAACGATGCTTATTGCATTATCGACTAATGTTGCAATAACCATAAAATACAAAAATGATGTATGTTCATGACTTCATTCAAAGCCGCATGACTTTACAATAATAATTAGTCAACTTCTTGAACAGACAAAAAATGCTCGGCTAGATAGTGGAAATATTAAATTATAGGATCCACTTTGATACCTAATTTCTAAAGAAGTATTATATTATTATTATTATTATTCTTATTATTATTATTTTGATTGGCGTTTATTATTATTTTTAATTATAGGTTTAGTAATACAAGTACGTAAATTTTTATGAGTTTATAATTTTTATTACCCATTCAGTGATATGTAATATAAAGTCAGCACATTAAAAAAAATGTAATAATCCTTTAAAAAGCCAAAAAAGTTCTTGAAGTGTTTCATAAAATGCTAAGAGATGACATAATTAAGCATGATCCACGTCCGAGTCTACCCTAAAGAGCACATTGTGTGGCGTTTTCTCTTTTATAATGGAAACAACAGTAGATGCAGTCTTGACATAAAATTAATTGCCAATCACTATCAAGTATATAATAAAATGAAGCTCATTTGCTTGGCTTCTGCGACTTCCACAATTACATAGGTAACTACGTACTCAATATACCAAAGTTGCACACAATAAATGGAAGTAACATGAGATGAGACCCTTGACTTCTTGGAACTTTCACCCGTCCTAAAATGGCTGTATTTACATACGGGGAACACTTTTTTTTTTTTTTTTGTATGTTATAGGAAAATAGTTATCTCATGTTATAGAAATAAAATTACAAGTGAGATTCACAGGTAAGAAGAAAGAAAAAAAAAATTGATAAAATCACCCCTTTTTTGTGTGCGTGAGAAAATTGTTTCTCTCATGTGAAATGAGATGAACATAATCCTTTGCATATTGGGTAAATAGATATAGAATTCGGTTGTGATTTAGTTTTGTCAAATTCAGTGACACTTTTTAACTTATCTGTAATTTAATATTACACATTTTCATTAAATTCAATGAAGATAATAGCAAAGTGATTATTAGTTGAACCGAGGTGTAAAAACAACATCGACAAAGGTAAGACTACGTATAAACAAAATAAACCTTGAGGAACAGATGTTTGCCACTAAAAACATAAGAAGCTGGAACGGTTTGAACAAAAAAATTGAAGGTCCATTTCATTTAACATAGAATGTGAGATATACAAGAAATATGCATGACTACTACATACAGCTGATGAATGCATTTGCTATTAATGCTCTTTCCATCAACAAAGCCGATGATGACAGCTAGTAGAGCAAATCATCAAGACAAAATTGTAGGCTACGATCACAATAACCCAACATGAAAGCATCTCGTTTTAAGCACAATCCTGCTTAAGACCATATTGAGCAAAGTTGCTCCTTCACAATTTGGCTGAAGTTCTTACATCATCTTCAGTTAGGTAGGATGTTGAAGAACTAGATTTAGCTCAACGGCTGACTTGGCCAATAAACCACCCTTCCTGCATCAAAAAATCAGGGCAAATAAACAACGACACCCTTGATGGGATGTAAAGAAAGTGCTTAAAACAATCTTTATTTAACAAAACTGAGAGATTAGTGCTTCATAAAAATCACAGGCGAATTATACTGGAAACATGAATAATCAGCCAAAAAGAGAAACGCATCAATGCAAATCTATAATATACCTTTTACTATTTGAATAAATGGATGCATACACTACTAGCCTTTTCCCAACATAAAAAGGTCACTTTCGGAGTCAATTAATTGAGTGATCAAAATTCCGAAATAGAAACCAGCAAGTGACTTCCCTTATTTTCTATATTAAAAACCATCAATCTGTAACATTGTTTTAAATGTACACATATTAGGCGGCAACACTAAAGACTGCATGATTACCGTATTAGTATTGGAAGAATCATTTGGATCTTTTGCAGTTGCATAAAGCACTGGTTGCAGCATTCCCGCCTGTGCCCAAGATTCCATAGAAGTTAGATACATTCACATATAAACTACATGAGATGGTGAAAGGACTATTAAGTGACAATGGAAGCCACCTTTCCTCTTGATGTAGATCAACCCCAACAGAGGGAGGTGCTGAAATGGTCGAACGTATTGTTGCACCAAAAACTGCCACAAGCTTTAACAGCATATCCAGTGACACCTTTACATGTCTGCACAGTAAGAGCAGGGTAAATGTCTCTCACAAGTCATATTTTACAAAGGCTTCGTTAAACAGTGGAAACTAACTTTAGGTTTCAAGCTCCTATTATGAAATCATGGCCCATATATTCAAAGCACAGGCTAAGATGAGTCAAAAATAATATGTTCCCCATTCACCTCCCACCATGACATTCAAGCCACTGGCCCACTATATTAATCAACAAATACCTTTCTATCTTGCTATCCAGCAACCCTGTGAGCACAGGAAGTAACCAAGAAAATAAATCTAATGTGAGAATCTCCATCTTTTCCACAAGAACACTGATAACATCTGCTTGAACCTGCATTGGGATGAACTTATTTTCAGGACTATATATTCAATAAGAAAACCATTAATTTCTATTTACAAAACATTAAAAACAGAACAAACACGAAAACAACAAGTGGCACACAACCACTACAAAAATACTAACAGATTGATCTGGCAGCTTTCTCAAAGCATTGATGGCACCTTTAATATCACCGCGTTCCCAAAAATGCCGCACCACCTACAAATACTCATTATAACCACAAACCAGTCAGTGACATTAATTACAAAATGTTTCCTGTTTTTATCATTTTCTTTAGCCCCGTTAATCAGACTCAAAAAAGTTACACATCAGCATGACGCCAAACACTGTTTTAAGTTCCATGGCTAATAATAATACACAGTAAAATGAGTATAGAGACCTCATATGCAAACAAATAATATTAATGACTTGCTAAAATTACCTGTAACTTTGTCAGGCGTGAGCGAAGATTACTTAATGTTACATCATGAGTTTGCATTAGACTTTCAATGATTTCCTCTTCATTTGCAGAGTTTGAATATCCTCTAGAAATTTGGGGCTCGACTTTCTGACAATATTATGCAACAGAATAAACATGGCTTAGTTGAACTACCCCAAAGAACCATTTGTTATAATGAGATTGCATGATTGAGTTTGAACTTTCACATTCTTTCAAGACATAAGATATTTCATTTACTATTTTAAACATTATAGAAGAAAAGAGACAGTAAAATTGAGAGGAAATCAAAATAAAAAGAAGAGTGATAAGAACCTGATCAGAAATGAAATTAAGAAAAGGAACAAGAATGTTTTGGCCCAGAAACTTCTGGATTTTCTGTATTAATGGAGATTCAAGAAGCAGATACAGTACTACAATAATGGAAACTATCAGCTACCATGAGGAAACAACAGACAATAATGGAAACTATCAGCTACCAAAAGGAAACCACAGAAATGACAATTGCAGATAAAAGTAATTTCAGTACATTCGAGAGTTACTGACTCTCCCAGTCCCAAGTCCAATATTTTCCAAAGATTCCCAATGATCCCTTCAAGAACTTCCTCTCCCTATTTAACCACCCCTTCCTGCCTTTCCTTCCCCCAACTGAATTCTGTTGAACTCATTCTAGAATATTCCCAGCCAACAGGTTACTAGCTGACTCATCATTAGGTAGGATAACCAGACCCCCTGTAATGCATTCTACGGTACACTTAATCTTAGGTGGGTCTCTATCAAAGAGCAATAGCAATTGATCAATGATCCAAATCCCCACTAGGATGTGTTCATGTAGAGGTTCAAGAGAAATGATCCGAGAAGCTAATTCCTAAAATCATGACACCATGTACAATTTTAGAGTCTGTTTTACTAGATAATAGTTTTGTCATAAGATATTTACTTCCTCTGGACCAGCTTAAGCAATTACTTTTTATCTAGCCGCTTCTGATCAATTTTGGAATGCTCCAAATAGATACCGGCAACACATAGTATTTAAACTGCAGTATTTAAACTTGTTTGTAAAAGGAACATAGTATTTAACTTGGTTCGTATTCTATTTTATTTTGTTGAGCTTGAGCATACAAGCTGAACACTTAGTAAGCCTCCAGCCCGAGGAGAGTGTTAAGAAGTATAAAGTACCTAGCAAAGTCTCCAGGGGCGAGAAGTGATAGAATACAATGCCTATTTTATCTCAATTGCATAGCTACCGGCTTATAAGCCATAAACTGGGACCTACGACTAGAGATATAACAAACAAATTTTTCACCAAAAAAAGTAGAAGCTACAGTGGATATGCCATTATATAAACTTCTGTAAAGCTGAGCTAGAATTTTACCAGTATGTTGAAAGATTTATCAGTTTCAGATAGTGTGTTGGGAATGGAGGGCATATTGTTTTGATCTTCATTGAGGGGAATTCTTTCCCCCCTCTCAAATACCATGGTGGGGGATGCGTTAATTTGATCTTCAGTATGAATTTTTTCCCTCCTTTCATTTATTGTGGGGAGGGATGCATTAGTTTGATCTTCATTGATTTGAATTCTTTCCCTTTTTTCAAACCTCTCAACCAGAGAACGGGTCCTTCCTCGTACAACAGCAACTGCCAGAATAGAATATAAAAATGTTCAATTTTCAGCGGTTTTTATATTATACAAAACTACATATAAAGGGATGTCAAACCTCCATTGACATATTTAACTGGACCAATCTCTTCATTGCACGGGGAGGATTCATCACCTGAAATATTATGAGAAAATAACTTGTCAACTCAAAAGACTCAACTTTACATAAATAATAAGCCAAGGTATACATAACATCTTTGTTTGAATGACCTTATACATGGCAGGTCAGCTCTTTTACTAAAAAGAGTTCATCTGTCGAAACTTGGCCAACAGTTTATCCATTATTTTTCAAAAGGAAATGAAAGTTGGAAATCAGAGGCAAACTTCTTTGTAGAAAATTTCAATAACATCTTGACAGATTCAAGAAGCAAGGTCCAAATGTAAATATTTTAGATTATAATGAATGGATGAGAAACGAAATATGACTAGAACTTAGCCTTTTTAGGAGGGTTAAGGCATCATGCGGCATCAACTAAAAATATAGGCTGGGATAAAAGGGAAAAACAGTTATTCAACCAATAAGAAGTCAAATAGTTGAGGGCAATGATTACACTAACAATCAGCCTACGCTATAACTAAGGAGAGAAAACTCATTTAATGGAAGTGGAAAAGTAGACTAGATGAAGGAGATTAAGTTAAGAATTAAGGAAATATATTCAGTAATGACTTGCATTTGACCCGCTGAGCGATTTAACAACATTAACTTACGTTTTGCTTGGTCAGAAAATCTGTTAGGAGGTTTAGTCTTGTCAAACTTCTCTGTAACACTCTTGATAGGATGTTTATCTTCACAAGATTCTTTGGCTTCATTCTGAGATCCTAGATTCATTTGGAACTTAGGATCTTTTGCACTGTCTAATTTACTTGGAGTATCAAAAATAAGAGTTCCAGAATTTGCATCTGCTGAAAACCTATCAACATCAAATCTGCCAGTGGATGCTCTACGCACATGAGCTGGTTTAAGTAACATCCCAGGTTTTGTCTTTGAAAAGGTGATGGTCTCTTTTCCAGATTTTACCGAGTCCTTACCATCAGGAATGTCCCGGGGTACAATGTTTGGCACAATGAAAGATTTTCTAATCGGTTGTTGTTCATTTGATTTTACATGAATTCCTGTTGCAGGACTCTGCTTCAGCGTTCTCAAGTTACAAATTTCCTTGGATTCCTCTGGTAGAATTACTTTTGGAGAACTAAAAGATCCTGATCTCTGTAAAGCAACAGGTTTCCCTCCAGCAGCTTTATATGGAAGAAAATAGCATTTTATTAGACACACAATAGGAAAAGTAATCAGAACATAAATACACAGACACCAGAACAAATATGTACGTATGTATGTATACTCTTGATCTGCATTCATCATGCTAAGAAATTCAATAGTCGCAAGCATGTAAAATTAAATTTCCAGCAAAACAAAACCTATTGGTGCAACAGAAGCATCCTATCTACTCATCTGTTTAGATGTATTCAGAACTTAAACAAATCCAAACTTAAATAACATCATCAGGGGCGGCATGTTATACCACCCAGCTTACAACTAAACCAGTCAAAGGTCAGTAGTACAAGTTGGGTTTATCAAGTTAATCAACAGCAATATGGGATATCGCTTGACAGTTTGAACAAAGCTAGAGACTTATCGAAGTTAGCAAAACAGTTACAATAAGGAAATTTAAAAAACAAATGAGAAATTATTACCATTAAGTGAAAGAATTAATAGGCAGACAATACCCTGTCAGTAAAAGCATCAATAACAGGGCAACTAAACAATACAGAATTTTATTTTCAAAGAGTAACTACGGAAAGACAAAATATTAGTAGCTTACAATCAATATATATATTCTTTATCTCTTTTGACTCATCGGGAGACATACTGCGAAACCCAGAAGTTGGTCCCACATCAACCTCTACGTTCTCCAGTTTACTTCCCTTAAGACTAAGTTTCTGCTCTGTGCCTTCATTTTTCTCGGGATCCAAGCCAGCACCGTATGGCTCAATAAGCTGAAACATTGAAGCTAACACTCAGAATGATGGCTAACAGATAATAAAGAATAACACAAACATCTCAAAAAAAAAAAAAATTTCAGACTGTGGCTAACCACCTCACTCTTAACACACACACACACACACACCCCCCCCAAAAAAAAAAAAAAAAAACAAAGTTTCAGTATTCATGTGCAGTGCACAAGTGATGCAATCACAAGCCATATAAGTATGAAGTCACAATCATACTTTGAACTAAATATACAATTATAACAGAAAGATCCTGTTTAAAATTAAAAAGTAAAAGCAACAATTAATCTAAATGATGTTGTTTCCTACCGATATATCTGCTACCCAAACTCCAACAGAACTTCGGTAGTAAGAGCACCCCAAAAGTTTCCCATCATGAATACAGAGATCACCGAGTGTTGTCCATCCCATATCAATAGCATCATGACATATAACAGGTTCCCATGAATACACCTGCAATATATCAGCATTGCAAATGACATGTTTATCGTGTTCCACGAGCTGCATCATTAATTATATGTAATCTAAACATATTCTAACAGTTGCGACAATCTTTACCTTCAAACCATCTTCATGTCCCGTAAATAGGGTCCTTCCATCAGGATGAAAAGCCATGGAGCGTACACCTGTAGCCTATTAAAAAGTAATATATTATAATTCAAAGAAGTACTATAAATAAAAACAATGCAATTTATATCTACAATTAAAGCTGAATCTGCCGTACAAGTGCATGTATTTGGGAGAATAACTGTATAAGTTTCCCATTAAAAGAAAGACCCAATGAGACAGTTCATGCACAACATAATTTGTTTGGAGAGTTTAGCATACTTCAAAGGCAATAACTTTGATACACCACAATATTTGTGGTAAAATATAAAACAAGATCATTTTAGGTATTTATATGATTAAAAATAAGACAAGATACACCAGTATCTGCAGGTTACAGAAATTTTTTAACCCTAACAAATACAGAAAATGGAGAGATGTTCTTGACCACAACTTCATTAACAAATTTTCACCAAAAAACTCATTGGCAACTAACAACACGATGACAAACTGGTAAGAAGTGTCAAGAATGGTGATTCAGCATAAAAGTAGCCAAAGAGTTACCATCGATGTTAGTACTTAGTAGTAGTACTAGTACAAATTTTGTTTAGAGGAGTTAAGAGAGAGAGAAAGAGAAAGGGGGGGAGGGGGAAGAAGATGAGGCAGAGACGCAAGAAAAAATTATGGGATAAATGGACATAATTATTTCCTTTCAAGCAGAAGAAGAAAGATTCAGCAAGTTAGGTACCTCACGTCTGGCAGATCCAATCAGTTCAAAGGTTTCTAAATCCCAGAATTTCACTGTTCTATCTGCTGAACCTGCAAAACAGTTTGTGAATTTCATTAACTGCTTTTTTAGTAACATATATACATTTACAAAATGAAGAAGACGAGTCTGGAGCAGTGGTAAATAACCTTTGTGATTGAAAGGTTACAGGTTCAAATTCGGGAAACAACCTCTTTGTAAATATATAAGGGTAAGGTTACATACAAGGATAGCCTTCGTCCCTACCATCGCTAGTCAGGGTTTAACGAGGAGTGGTTTACATACATTTACAAAATAAGTTTGTCGAACTTTTGCAGATAGAGAAGGCACAACTGTAAAACACATTGACATTGACACTTGACATTGACACTCGACATTGACACTCTTGGGAAACCACACCACACATTTTACAGTCCCTGTCCCACAACAAAAGTGTGATAATATAAAGATTACATATTTTTCTTTTTTCATACAAAAAAAAAGGCTTTCTTACATCCTGATATACATTAAAATTTCCTAGTTTATGGATATTTTTGATTATTTGTTAAGAGAAATTAATTATTAAATAATTAGGATAATTACAGAATTTTCATAAGATTCTATGAAGATATCAACAACCTACATGCGGAAGTTTCCCAGTTTGAATTTCCAATTTTTATGAGACTTCTCTCTTAACTCACATTAATTAGCAAGATTTAAAGAAGGAAAGCAATTTACTTTCCTTGTTGCCCAAAGGTTACTTTCCTTGTATACAAATAGGAAACACTAGAAGAAAAGCCCATTCTTGATTTTGGGCTCACTAAAATCAGAATAAATAGAAAGAGTAGGACAACAAAGGAAGGCGGCGTGCACAGCACATTACTGTATGCCTAGATAGACTTTTGTACTACGTGATGATGAAACCATGAAGATTTTAATACTAATTGCGAATCTTTATTGTTTAGTTTTAGTCAGTATAATGAAATTTTTAGATGAGTTCAATTGTGTTTATCTCATGCTTTAAATTTGATTTTGCTATCTGTGAATTGATTGTAATCCATATCAATTGTTATTCTAGGCAGGATACACTTGATGATTTGATAAATTACTGTAAACAAGGAAAATAAAGCATATAATTAATTATTTTTCAGCGCTTAATTGATAGATTTATCATGAATACACACTTTGCAGTAAGATGTTCTTGAGATAAAAATATCTGGGAATGATATATTTGACCTAGATGATGTTCGAATTAATATCGGCGAATTCTAAACCATAGTCAATTTAAATTTGGTTAATATGATTTAATATATGTTTTTTGTTGTTTGAGTTTCTATTTTATACTTTTTTAAATCTTAATTAATTTTGTCTAACTAGATTAGGGAAATTGTTCAATACTGAAAATTCAACTATGAGCTGGACTATACTGACATAGAATCATGCACTTGTGATTTATTTTAAAGATTATAAAAGAAAAAAAATAAAAGTTTAGCTGCCAGTGCCACTGCCAGAGACTGAGTTAAAAGCTTTAGGTTTTAGTTAGATTGGCACTTTGGGAAACCAAACCACACATTTCATAGTCCCACAAGTGCATAACGAAAACTTTATTCGTCACAGACTCACAGACTCATATAGCAGCATGTTAATTATGTAATAGAAATCCAAGACTGACCTTAATCGATATCAAAAGACAAAAGAATCTAACAAAGAATGAGAAAAAATAAATAGACAAGTGGGTATTTTAGTTCTCTATGTTTGGTTTCTTTAATAAACTAATAATTATGTAAATTTTAACATCTGCATATACTGCTCATTACTTATCTCAACAGTGGATGATCCAGCCATTTAAAAAAATAAAAGTTATAAAAACTTTATTCAGCACAGATTCTTATAACAGCATGTTAAGTATGTCACAGAAAGGCTAAGGCTCGAGTAAATCTGTATCGAAAGATACCTGGATCTACCAAAGTCTGAGAAAGAATAAACAAACAAGTGGATCATTTAGTACTGTATGTTGGCTTTCTCAGTTCATCTAAAATTAACGGGAAGTTTTAAGATCTCAGAGTCTACTGCTCATTACTTAATGTCAGCAGTATATGATTCATCACGTAAACAAAGTAAATAAAATAAGAATGATATTGTCATTCTGCCTTTGTTATATTGCTGGAATAATCAAGCCTATAAGAGCTTATCATAGGCTTGAGCTTTGATTTTGTCAATTTTTAAAGAAGCCTGAACCCAAAGCCTCACAAAAACCTAAATAAAATGAAGCCAGAAGCCAATCCCATGATTATATCTCGCTAATATAAAAATTATTTTAAATGCATTTTCCTTAAAATTCTTACCTTTTTCTATTTAAATTGGATTTTAATGGCCCTAAGAGGGGGCATTGGATCCAAAATGCCCTTGCACATCCCATATTTCAGTGTTGTGAATGTAGCACAAGTTTTTCATTAAGTTTGGCCAATTATACAACCCAAGTAAATTTTCATTTACTGCATTAGAATTCATAATATTATTTAGAAGAGATACCTTTTATGTATGTACGCAATAAAAGCAGTAATTAATTATAAAATAAAGAATCTTTCTATAGACATTGCACATACATAAGCATCTACCACTCCCAACTGTTCAAAAGTCACTTAAGTCACTAAATCACCTGTAGCCAGAAGAAACTCAAGCGGATGGAAATCTATCGACCTAATGGGTCCTTCATGGAACTTGAAGTCAGACAAGAGCTTTCCAGCTGTTAGATCCCACACCTGTACATTGATGGTACAGTAGATCCATGGTTTTATGAATGTCCTTAAAATCTATTGCAAGCTATACCACAATGGATTTATGAATGTCCATATTATTACCTTCACAATATTATCAAATCCACCGGAAACTACCCAACGACCATCAGGAGTGAATTTGATAGTACTGACGCCCTGGCTATGACCCTTGTATGTATGTATACATCCTTTTTTTCGGATATCCCAAATTTTTAGATTAGTGTCCATTGAGCCAGATGCAAAAAACTCTCCAAACGGATGAAACTCCACAGCAGAACAATTGGATCTGTGTCCAGCAACAGTGCGAACCACTATACTTCAAGAATAATAACAAATACATTAGAAACACAATGATAAATTTTAAAATGCAGGGACCCTATATTGTGCCCAACAAATAAAAATTGATTTAAATATTTGGAAATTGGAACTTATACTTTATGATCAGCAAGTTTTCAATTCTCTAGCCTACAGTCTAATGCTCCATAAATAACACCTTTCTAGGTTATAGTATAGCCTAAGATCATCTTGGAGTCATGGACTAATTAACTTACTCTTTCCTTCTTCCAAATCCCAAAGCTTTATCACACCTGACGATGCTCCAGCAAGAACTAATACTTCTCCTGAGTCAAATGCGACAGATTCAACTGGACTAGTATGACCAGATAAGCTCTGCATATATTTACAGTGAGTTAGCATTATTAAGACAGTTATACATGCCACATGGCACTGCTGCCATCAAAAGAAAGTCGCACAAAAGTCATAATGGGGAATCAAATCAGGGAAAAAATTATAGATGATATATTATTATATGGTCTAAGCATGGTGGAAATATCCAGTTTTAGTTTCTTCCTATTGTGCCAGTGCCAAAAGGGCGAAACAGATAAACAAAGAAAACAAAACAAAACAAATCATTTAATATGAACTGAAAGAAAATAGTTCTGTCACATAGAATACCATAATTGTGAAGCAAGTAGTGCACATCAGAAATAGCCCCTTCGGTTGAAAAGGCCTAGCCATATGCTAGAAAAACAAAGACAGCAACAACACTGACCGTTAAAGAAGTTGGTTTGCCAATCGTCCACAGATTAACCTTGTGATCATCCCCTCCTGTAATGAAAAGACGGCATGCCTTCTTTCCAATATTTAAACAATTGACGCTGCCTGAATGAGCCACAAATTCCTCTAAAGTTGATTGGCTCAGGAAATCACATTACCAAAAACACTCAATACAATCAACAACAGACAAAATCAGATTGAAAAAAAAAAAAAAAATCAAGAACCCAACAAAATAAAAATCATACTTTTAAGCTAAACCAACAAAATTTATATCTTTTAAACATCTTTTTCTGATTTCCTAAAATTAGAGAGAGAGAGAGAGAGAGAAAATGCGGAATGTTTCAAATAATAACATAAAAAAAATGTGTAAAACAAAAATCGAAGACTTCAACTTGAAAGTTCCCATTAACTTCTGCAATAATCTCCGAGCAACCAAATGGAAAATCACTTTTTTTCTCATAAAACAAACAGTCCATCAATTGTACATCCAGCCTTGCCCCCTCCCAAAACAGAAAACCCAAAAGAGGCAAAAACACAAAAGCCAAAACCAACAAACACATTTGAAGCTGCAAAGAAACACCAGACCCAGATTTCAATAGCAACTCAGCTACAAGTAACTAACTTCAATTTTTTCAAAAGAACCAGCAGCAGTTGAAGATAAGCATTTTTCTCTCACAGAACATATTTATTTAATTTTTTTGTTTTAAAATAAAAAAAGAAGGATACGTATTTTGTATCCACGCTTGGCCATCTTTTGTTGGGCACCTCAGAAATCAGCTTCTGAAGCTGAAATGAAATTCCTTTTTAAGGGGAAGAAGCAACTCAGAACTTGGGTCTACTTCAAAGATGGCTCCCACTGCTGCTGCTGCTACCTGTTACTTACTGCTCCAGAAGAACAAGAACAAGAACAAGAAGAAAAAGCAGTTTCTATGGTGGTTGGAAAATGGAAATCCGGAGCAGAAGGTAGGAATTGGATTAGATATGTCAGATGAGGAACGGTCTGAACTCAACAATAAAAGAAGGAAGAAAAATTCAGATTCAACACTGAGAAAAAGAAAGTGTCTTTCTTTCTTTTTTATTTTTCCTAAGGGAAAATTAAATGGCATTGATTTCGTTTTCTTCATAAATACTTTCGTTTTTATTTATTTATTTATTTTTCAGATTTTATTTATTTTCTAATTTTATTTAGGGTTTTATGATTATTATGTTACATAATCCAACTTGATTTTCCTACTCACACAATAAAAAAGAGAGAGAAAGTGAAATGATGAAAGAGAAAAAATATAATGTGAACCCCACCTCTTTGATGTGTGTAAAAAAATGAAATTAGATCATGTCACATCATAAACATAAAGCCATTTTATTTATTTTCTAATTTTATTTGTGTGGAAGCCACTAACAAAACACTTCAATTCTGATTCCATGTCTACAGTTTCTTCTTCTTTGGACCCAAATGCCCTTCACTTCTTGCTGACGTGTCTTTTCTCTTGGTATAGTTTTTTTTTTTAAATATTTCAACTCCAGAAATAAAAAAAATAATAATCTCTTAACTGAAAATAAAGTTCCTCTTTATAATATTTTTTCTACATTAGTAAAACTAAAAATTAGATCCAATATGAGATGCTTAATAAATAAGAATCTTTACTATATTTTATATTTGATGTGAGGTTGAATTGCTCCTCCGTTGATTTGGTTTTGTTGTAATACTTCGTACGTTACACGTTACTGGTCTGGATAAAATAATTGTAATTTTTTGTTTTAAAATATGTATTTCAAAAGTTCTTAGAAGCGTTTTTAATCACGCACAATAAATGCTCAGATGACATTTACTATACAAAATTTACCTACAAACCTTAAATAAATATATTTGCAACTACTTGTCATTCTATATCTCTACCTAATCTAATGAGTAATTTAACTAATAATTGGGCAAAGAGGCAAATTGAAGGGAACAAAAGGCATGAAAATGACGTCCCTCGAACGATGAGAGATTCCTTATAACATAACTTTCCTTTCTCTTCATCTTTAATTTTTCATTATTTAGACGAAAATGAAGAAAGGAATATCCACACTTCATTGTCATTCAATAATATGGATGGCCATATATCAACCGCATTAAAAATAGTTACAAGGACAGACAAACTCCACACTACATATAGAAATTAATCATTTTCTAAGTGAACTCTAAATTTGTCTTTGAAATATTTAGTGATAGATATATTGACATTTGAGAATGTCAAAATCTACTCTATTTTTTCAATAATTATAAGTATAGACTATATTAGTCATTTTTAAAGACGTACTTAGCATTTAAGGATTAATATTTATTATTTTCAAAATTTATGGTAATATTTTTATATTCTCAAATTTAATGTATTTACTGCTTAATTTTTGAATAAGGAATCTCAGAATTTATTGTTATTTTTGCTTCTAAATAACTATTGGCTAACAGGGTGTTCGCGGTCTGGATTGGATCGGTTTTAGAAGCAAAATTCATCCGATCCAATCCCTTCGGTTTGATCATGTAAGCATTCATTCGGTTTAGATTTTTTTTCAAATCCGATCCGATCCGATCCAATCCAATTATTTTTGGTTTGGATTGGATCGGTTTTCGATTTTTTGAATATCCTAAAATTAGTTTCATGATTATTGTGCAAATAACATCTTTTGTATATATTGACTTTGTAAAAAAAAAAATTGAAATACAAAAATATCAGTAAACAATACTATAGTTGATGAGACGTGACTAAATTTTTTCTTGGGTTTAGTTGATGAGTTAATAGGTCTTAAGTTTAGAAATTTTTAGACTATGATTGGAGAAAGGACAAGTAGATAGAGAATAATTAATATATTGGATCGGTTTGGATTGGATCGGTTTTCATCAACCCATCCGAAAACCGATCCAATCCAATTAAAATTTGCGATTTTTTTTCGGATTTCGATTTTTTGATTTTCGATTTATTCGGTTATCGGTTTTTCGGTTCGGTTTTCGCGGTTTGAATCGGTTTGGATCGGTTGATGAACACCCCTATCGGCCAATACTTTTATTAAAATATCATTATTGTTATTTTGGATAATTGGCAAAATTGAGACGCGTGATTTTCTGAAAGTATGTATAAAGACTAGATATCGATTGAGCTAGTAAAATCCGAACGTTATATATTAATGTTATGCATCAATTAGTCGATGGATATTAAATGGCTAAAAGCACAATACCTTTTTTTTTTTCAAAAGCTAAGTTCAATTTGTTGTGCTGAACCACATTTTACAGGCATATTATAGCACGTTTTCCCCGCTTATTATAGCACAGTAAAATGACTGACATTTCATAGATTTAGGTTAGATCCTCCTCTCAGAAATAAGTACTGTATCCGCCATTGCCGCAAATGTTGCTCCTCGAATGCTCATAATTAGGAAAACATTAATAGGGTTTTCTATATAACTACCAAAGTGTTTCAAACAACTTTTGCAAAAAAAAAAAAAAAAAAAAATGTTTCAAACAACGATTATCCTATCAAAAAATATTTTTTTGATAAATTTTTCTTCTACATAAATAAAAAAGTGGATTCTTTGAATTTCCTTTTATTTTTTAACAAACTATGGGCGGGAAAATAGAAAATTATCAAATTCGTTCCAGAAAAGCCAAATGTGTAGTGATTTTAACTAAAAAATTAAAAAATGACGATACTTATACTGATACTAAGGATACCCATAATACCGATAAAAAAGGGGAATTGGCTTTAATACGTTATGCACAACAACCGGATTTTCGACGAGACATAATAACAGGATCTATACGTGCTCAAAGACGTAAAACAGTCACGTGGAAACTGTTTCAAGAAAGTTCACATTCCCCCCTTTTTTTGGACAAAATAGATAAAACTCCCTTCTTTTATTTTTTATTTACGAGTCAATAAAAATATTTTTTCTGTTAAAAAAATGGATGCAGAAAAAGACAGAATCGCAGTACAGTATTAAAGGTTTAGTTTAAGTATCTTGTATGATATTGTTGTCGTGCAATGCATGCACTTATCGATAGACAGAAGAATCATGGTATGCACGTGACTGTTTTACGTCTTTGAGCGCGTATAGATCCTGTTATTATGTCTCGTCAAAAATCTGGTTGTTGTGCCTATTGACGGTCGAGGAGAAATTTCAGCTTCGGAATCTAGATTAATCGAATCGCCCGCGCCTGGTTATGGCCACTTCTCTATGGTACCAGTTGTTGCTTCATTAATAGGATCACGATTCGACTTTGATCGTCACCAAGATTTCGTGATCCGCTGTGGAACTTATTCCAATTCAATAACGAATCTCAATATTCCAATATGACCCCCATGTCTCATTAGCCCAGACTGCTCCAGAAAGAATATTGGATCTCTTTCTCTTTGAATGATATCTTAATTTCAGCGACGGTTCCCGCGGGTACCGAAACCATTAAAAGAACACCCAATAACTTGTTGGGCACTGTACAAAGTATTTGAAATACGGGAAAGAAATACCATTCCTATTATTTCTTTCTGCCATATCTTTAATAGCGGGCTAGTTACATCTACAACCGAAATGGAAACCGAGTGTTTCATGGTTTAAAAATGTGGAATCCCGCCTTAATCATCCAGTCTTTCGCTAAGATTTCGAATAGTTGTCTCGAATTCTGTACTTCACAAGTCACGTTAATTTGTTGACCAACAGTATCTTGACCCTTAACTACAAGAGCGTTGTAAATATTAGGCATCTTCCCCGGGTATAACCATTCATCAACGGATGCCGCTTCCCATATCGGGTAAAAGTGCAAACCAATAGCCGCAGAAGTCATACAATGTCGTTTTCTATAGCCACAAAAATAGATTTCTATATATTAAAAAAAATGGATAGGGTAGGGGCTCCAGTTCCCTTACGAAACTTTCGTTATTGGGTTAGCCATACACTTCACATGTTTCTAGCGAACTGTTGTAGGAGATTTATTAAAACCTTTGAATTCAGAATATGGTAAAGTCGCTCCGGGCCAAGGGACAATCTCAGGTAGACAGTTTCTATGGGACGTAAAAATGTAAGAAAATAGACCTTTCGTTTGAAGTTCGAAAAAGTCAAATCCCTTTATTGATTGCATCAGAAATAATTTTTTTTTAATATAGTCGAACTATTCATCAACAGAAAATAAAAGCTTTGGTTTCAGCTTATCGGCATAGAAATAGGAAAAAGAGCGATTTTCGCGGTTTGTGGATCAGTCGAATAAATGCAGTAATTGGAGAGAAAAAAAAATTGGGACCCTTTATGGCGGATATTGGTGCACAAACAGTTTCTAGTTGTAAGATATCTAATGAAACCGTCGCTGAAATTGAGATATCATTCAAAGAGAAAGAGATCCAATATCTGGAGTTTCTGTTTGTATATTATATGGATGATCCGATCTGCAGGGACCATGATGTCTCTTTTAATATGAGATTAATAACACTCTACAAAGCATGGACTCGTCAAATTTCTTGAATAATGCGTGTCGGATACGTGTCCGACACGGACACGCTCCGACACGCGGTCAATATTTTAGGACACGTGGTCAACTCTCCGACATGTTTTTCGACACGCAGTCAACTTTTTTCAATACGTGATCAACGTTCGGACACGCTCGGACACGTTTTTTTTTATTCTTAATTTTATTTTATTAACTAAAAATAAAAAATTATTTATAAATCAAATTTTTTCTGTTATGAAATTTGACATGAAAAATTAACAAGTACAAAAAATTATTTTTATTTATTTATGTTATGAAATTTGAATATTTGATTGGTTATATAACTTATTATGAATTGTTATATGTATTAAATATAAATTATATTATATATATTAAAAATATTATTTAATATCAAAATGTGTCCCAACGTGTCGAAATATGTCATTTTTTAGAATTAACGTGTCGGCGTGTTGTGTCCCGTGTCAGTGTCCGTGCATCATAGATAACACTCTTATCCTATTAAGAGAAAATATTTATCTTTTTTAAAGAATATAAAATTATATTATTTTAAATAAATGAAAGATATAAATTAGTATTTTTATTTAAAATTTAAATTTAAAATACCAACTTTCTCTTTCCATAATTGTCATTACTTATGTATTTCTTTCAGTTAAAATGACGCATCTTTATATTATAAATATAAATATAAACGTAAATATGTAATGAAAAACGTCTTTCGGATTAATAAAATAAAGTGTGTGCCATGTTGCTTAGTGTTGCTGTGTTGGTTTTTTGTTTCCCCCTTTATCACTAGATTGCCATGACTTTGTAATGATGGAGTTTCATCTAGCGATATGTTTTCATGTGCAAGACAGGAAGAGAATGTCTAGGCAAATACCACATTCACTCAAGCATGAATGTCCCTAGCATCATGAGAATTATAGCTGAAACCTATTGAAATAAAAAAAAAAATCATTGACTAAGGCACAGGCATGACAACAGTCCATTGTCTGCTGCAATAGATGAAACATTTCTTAGCCACTCCTTCATCCAGGTAATGTAGCTCTAGTTTTTCCCCGTGGACTTTTAATTGATTGAATATAAAATTCTTGGATTTTTGTAGATAATTTCTCATACATCTTCTTGAGTGTTTACAAATTCTAGGCTTTTGGCTGGAATTATGTAAAACAAAATCATAAAATGAAAATTATTACATATCTATCGATGATTACAAGGCACATGGATGGGAAAATAAATAATTTTTATTACGTTTCTGATTTAATGCTAGGCTACTACTTTGGATCTTGTTTCAAGATCCTTGTCATGTGTAACCCATCATTCACATTTGGGAAAAGTGTTTATTCTTTTAAAAGATACAATTTATATCCTTTTACTCTCACAAAAAAGTGGGACTTACACTTTTATTTTTTTGTCAACTCTCTCTCCTCCTTTATCTATCTCTTTCTCTCTCTTAAAATGACACAACTTTACCTCCTTTAAAATGACACATATTTTACCCATTAATAAATTAACGAAAACTATAATTTGAAATTTACTTTAACATTTCCATTTTGTTTCTTCAAATCCAAATCCCATAAATAAAAATCCACCTCGGATTTTCTGACCCACTCAATAGCCAGAGACAGGAACACACAGATTTGTACGCTGAAAATCGATCTGAGAGAACATGTTCTAATTTTCTACTAATTCTCAATGTTTTAAATTAATTAAATAATATTTGACTGACAGTCAGAGAAAATCGTCGTACAACTCGTGGCACCGTCACGGCAAGACATATTTTGTCGTTTACTCTCATTTTGTTTAAATTTTTATGTCGTCTTTTCCGGTGTCATCGTCTTTCACCTCCATTGAACCTTTTCTCTTTAACAAGAGAAGAAAACGACAAGGAAAATAACGCATCAAAGGGGTGTTAGAATGTGACAACGACACTTTTTACGACATAAGCATGTGCACCTCTGGAACAGAGATAGATACATTACCACAAACCGTAAGCAATGTTCGGGCTTACTTATGGGCTAATTTATATACATTTCTTTAAGTTGTTAATTACATAATTGTTAAATTTAAACATAACCATCTACATAATTACTTAATGCATAGTAATCAAATATAGGGATACAATTTTTAAAAAAACATGTGAACATTTTTCAAAAAGATCTTTTAAAAATAAAAAGTTATTTTATGTTTGAACGTAATATTTAACAAGTGCCTTTTTTCATTCTCCGGGTTGCAATTTTGTTTCAAAAGAACAGAAATCCAAATAGAAAAAAGTATAGATTATGATTTATTTATTTTTAGATTCTTTCTTTTTTTCTTTTTAATAAAAAGCTCATCCAAACGCAGCAAAATATAACATGTGCTTATAAAATTTTATCCAAAAAAAAATAAAAATCCAAACTAACATATAATTAAGTGACTAAGAGTTAGGTTGCAGAACAGCTTTCAGAATATCAGTGTAATCCTCCACACTGCTTCTCTATCACAATAATAATAATAAAAATAAACCAATATCATTAGCAACCCCAAAAAAACCAAAAAACTTTACCAACGCCATATCTCTTAAGAGGTCACACATTATTGTGGGTTCCCACTTCCAACCCAACAACAATGATAAATAGCCCTCCTTCACGGCTTCACATATGATATAGCCCAAAATCATTGATCTAAACCAATTGTGGACAAGGATGGATGACTTACTCGTGGTGAATCTGAGCCCATGACAACTTTGACACATTAGCATTAATAAGTTAAAAAGCCAAAAAACAACTAAACAACGAAGTATAAAATACTGAACAACATTCCTGCTAACTCATAATTACATCAGCATGCATAAATTTTACATACATAACGAAGGGAAGGGTTAGGTTTGCAATTTTTTTCGTTTACAACTTTTACAACCTCAACTATGTATTTCGGAGAGTACAAATACTTGAGAGTGTACTCTCCCAAATACATAGTTGAGGTTATTAGAGTTGTAAACAAAAAAAAGTTATATACGTAACCTGGCCCCATAACGAAACATATCAAATTTAATGAAGAAAAAATAGATTGGTAGAAGTCCAGAAAATTTAAGTATGACTTTGGCTGCACTTCCTAATCTCACTGATAGCTACATGTCCTTTTACATCATTCGCATGAGATCTTGAACAATCTCAGACATTGCTGGCCGGAATTCGGGTTCACGCTGGAAGAAAAATAATAAAAAGAATAGGAGGAGAATAAATGATTGGTAATAAGGTGTAATCATGTATATAAATGAAATAGAGAAATGTTATAATCATAATTTCTTTTTATTCCTATGCCTGAAAAAAAAAATGGCAACATCAACAACGGTATCTACTATCTTTCCCATGAAGTTACTTAGTAGCTGGATTGGCTATATGCTTTGCAGTCACAACAATATTCCTTAGAAGGTACTAGTGACAATTCATGTCATAGTTGCTCATTTCCTATTACACTATGACAAAAGAATTTGGAGACTATAATATATATCTAGCAATGAAGCAATGCATGCCTTGATGTTTGATCATTAAAGATTACATTTGTGAAATGCAACCATGAAACAACAAAAAACACGATCACTTTTCCTAAAAGCATTATTACTTTTTCCTCTTTCAGGGTTTGGTATAGTCTTACAGAGTAACGTAAAAAATTGCCAGCTATGATGCCTAGGTACCTCACTCCCTTCAAATCATGTGCCTTCTTTAAATATTTTTGTTAACTAACATATAATTTATGGAGTTTTGCTAAAATATTTAGAAATTAAGAAAATTATTATTATCTTATGATTTAATTACTTTACTGTTTGTTTTTATATTTCATGATATATCCTGCCCTACCTGCACCCTAACTTTTTGGAATTTTATCTTATGTGCATCCTATCCATGCAACTTAGATTACCTGTACACATGAAGAAACAATATCTGCAAAACGTGACAAGGACTTCATAGGATAAGCTCCATTTAAGCAGGGGTCAACCATTTTTGACAATGCATCAATGTCATGGAGTTGAGGGACTGCCCATCTGACCAAAAATTGCTCTCCACGAGGCCGCGACCTAAAACATGTATTGTGCCTTAGCAAAATCCAATATTTTAAACATGGCTCTTGTTCAGCTTGTTTCATTATTGTAGAAGATAATGAACACAAGTATCTTAATTACTAATGGGATAGCTCACCTGTCATAGGATTTTCGTCCAGTGAGGAGTTCTAGCATTACCACTCCAAAACTGAAGACATCACTTTGCTGTGTATAACTTCCAGACTCAAATTCAGGAGCACTGTAACCATATGCTGTAAGGAGGCGTCCTGATAACTGAGATAGATGCACCTATGTTAGAATTTTAACAAAAATAGAAGAAAAACAAAACTTAAATCTTAGGTCTGTAACAGTATTTTCTGCCATCTTACTAGTAGTTCGTTAAAACTCCCAATATATGAAATACAATTTTCAAAAATTCTGAACACTGGGAGAACTGGTACTTAGGTCATTAAGTTTTACATCCTTCAGAGAGCTTACAGAACCAGACCAATCATCCAATTGAATTCTTGGTATCACCTAAGAATTTTTATAATCAAAATTGCCTAGCAGCCATCGTAGTTGTGCTGTGTAATGAACCAACTATGCCGAAGGCTTAAACTGTTAGATGAAGACACATGAATGGTATTATATTACATCTCTAACACACCCTCTTATGCAATGACCTTGTGGGTTTGAAGCATGAATAATGCATAAACTCACTTACCTTATGTTGAAATTCAACTTTTTATTAAAAGAATGAAGGTAAAACGGATCGGACTCTAGAAAACTTGGTCATAAAGGTTCTAATACCATGTCATGAACCAACTCTACCAAAAATTTACATTATTAGGTAATGACACATGGATAATTTTACATTACATCTATAACATGCTGCGTAGTGACACGAAGAGTAACTTAACTTCTTTCATACGTAATGAAATTCAATACCTTCATCTTTATTGGTTCTAGAAAGTAAAAACTAGCTTCCTTTTCAGTCTGACAAAATATATCTGATCATTTGCTTTTGTAATTCCATATGAACATCACGTTTTTTAAGGCCATTTATTCTATAATGTTCAATAGCAATCCAAGAATGTCCAAAACTTAGTTAAGAAGCCTAAAAGCACCAGAAGTTTTCTTATGAGCCCAAACCAGATATCAGTTGAAAATTCACAGCTGAAGAGATTAAAACTAAAGAGATACCTGACCAGCAGAACCAGAAGATAGTAAAGGACCTAATCCACAATCAGAGACACATACTTCCAACTCATCATTCAGGAGAACATTGACAGACTTAAAATTTCGATGCACAACAGGCGGCTGAAAGTTCTCATGCAGATACCTTATCCATGAAAGAAAAATGTTTATTAGAGTTAAGGCTGTCAATAAAATAACCAAGCCTTAGCCTAGTGCTAATAGTCTAAAACACAACAGCCTTATATTGATGGAGACCCAATAATACGTCATATGCTTAAAACCTCCTTCCACAATTTTACCAGTTTGGAGTGTCTAAGTAAAGGAATATTCTTGGATAATAGTAACTGAAATGTAAAAGCTATGTTTCCAAACTCCAAAACAAGACAAATATTATTCACTCACTAATATTGAGTTTATCTAGCTAAACAAAATGGAATAAAGCTCACTCTAAAGCTCTTGCAGCTCCAAGTGCCACCCGAATGCGTGCATTCCATGGAAGTTTAATATTGTGTTCATCATCCCCATGCAGTGCATCATGTAGGGTCCCATTACTGCAATACTCGTATACAAGTAGTCGTTGGCCATACTCGGCACAGTAGCCCATAAGCTTTACAATATTAGCATGCTGAATTTTTGAGATGCTGGACACTAATTGAAGAAATTGCTCATGATTCTGCCCCATGGAAGCAGTGGCATCTAATTTCCTAACTGCCAATAGCTACAAAAGATCATTCAAAATATATTAGCATGTGAAGCACCAGTAAACCAAGTGAAACCAGGAACATCTCAAGCAAGAAAAAAAAAGTTGTGCAGAGAGCTTCCAAAATATATAGTAGTATACTGCTTACAATTTATGAAACAAGGCAAAGTTGGGCGCATAAATGCAACACTCAAGTTGCATTTGATGCATATTGAGGGACAACACAATCAGAACAGTAATGTACCAGTGGTTGAGTGACATGAAAATTTATGGTAATGCACAGGACTGGAAATTTTGTAATATCCGTTGATAGAATAACACAAAACTTAGTGTAATACCCTTTCTGTTGTGCATTGTTTTTCTTGCAATAGAACTGAGACAACGAAAGGAGAGGACTTATTGATCTTTTTCTCTTTTTGTGTTGTGGAGGAGATTTTGTAACCTGATTTAGTTGGTAACAAAAATTTAGAGATTTGTGTTTTCCCTTGAGTTGCTTTTTATCCCGAACTTATACTAATTTTCATATCAAACAAAGTACAATATGTTTTGCGCTGTTCCTTATTTTTTTTTACAAATCAAACACACCCTCAATACTAACTGTTGTATTAGAACTATCTAAAATGGATTGCATAACTGCTTATTGTAGTGATCGGTAAGTGGAGACTATTTGTTTGCAGTTTTAAGTGTTGCTATTTTCTGGTTTATCAAAATTTCTCATTGACCAACTTTAAAAATTTATTGCAAAAATATCAATGATCAAATCAGTGATCACGAATTCCATTTCTGCAGATCTGGCTGGACCACAATAGCTGTTATGAGGACCAAACCACTGAAACAAAACTTATTCTCAGATGATTTGGATGAGAATTTCTGAGAGCATTGGTTGGGGTCAGAAATGGAATACCAATTGGTCTCGGAAATTATTCAACACAACACAATATACGACACAGACAAAAATGAACAACAAAAACAAGCTCCTGCTATCTCCCAAAAAATACCACAGGCCCCAGCTACACAAAAGGGCAAAGCATAAGTATTTCTATTGCTAGAAGCATTAAGATTAATTTCAAACAACAAATGCTTTGATAAAAAGAGGCGTAGCCACATTTGAGAGGCAATGAATACAAAAGAATGTCAAAATACCAGCAGATTAGCTGACACGTTGATACAAAAGAGTCCTTTATTTATAAATAACAAACAAACTGGAAGAGTATTACCTTTCCATCAGGGAGCTCAGCCCTATAAACGGGCCCAAGTGTGCCTTCCCCAATACAATTTTCTTGGGAAAAGCTATTTGTATATTGCTGAAGTGATGAAACAGTATAAACTTTGATGGAACTTGTCTTAACTTGTCTTTCAGTTACTTTGGTACCTATAGCTGGATTGATGATGACCTTCTCACCAGGAATGGTTGGGAGAGAATGTGGTGGTGGCTGCAAAGGCGAAAGTTTGGAACCCCCTCCGGTGTTGATTAGCTCACAACCATTATTGAATTCTGAAGTTGCAGATACTGTTTTCACATATATTTCTTGTTCATCCTGAACCTTTGGAATCGAATTTGTTCTTCTACCTGGTACTTCATATAAACGTAAGGATTTCTCTACTGTTCATTTGAAATTGTAAATAAAGTTTGAGAAACTACTTTGGAACAGATTAATTTTATTAAGAAAAAAGAATCTCTAAGATGAATCAAATTCACCTTTCTCCTCTTGATTAGTTGCTTCAAAACCAGCATCACTGCATGTAGGTTTATGCAAAGGTCTTGTAAACACACCCACATCATGTTTTGTAGCATTTTTCTTCTCTCGCCTTCTGTTAAAGCACCATATCATAAAAAGACAAACTCCCAATGCAATGAATATTAAGAAGCCTGCAACAGCAATCCAAATGATGCTCTTAGCTATGAAAGACTTCCTAGTACTTGCAGGCATTAGTGCTGTCAGGGCAGAAGGACTATTTGCCACTTTCCAAGATGATTCTTTGGGGGATGGAGCCATAGCTACAGGTGAAGGGGCTGCAGCAGGAGGTGACAGGATGATAGTTGTATTAAATGGATTCCCATCTTTTCTGCAAGAGACATGCTACTATGTTAAATTGAATAAAAAGATTTGGAAAATAGGTAATGAAAACATTTATCATAACACCATACGAAAAGAAACTAAGCTAAGAAAAATATGCTTAAAAAACAAAGATTAAGAGAATCCTAGAGCAATATTTCAGGTTTTAATGTTATCTCATATTGTAATAGAAATACAGTAGGAAATTTTCCCATATGACTTCTACTGGAAGATCAATATGATCACACTTGAACCAAGGTTTTGAAAAACAGGGAATTCGGCTAAACAAAGACTAAGAACAGAAATAGAAAATTTTGAAATTCAAACCATGGCTCACCTGAAATTAGGGATACTCAACAACTTTGGAGGAATGGGCCCGGAGAATAAATTATTCTCTATATTCCTACATAATAATAAATTCACAAGTTTAACTAAAAATTATACTTCTTACTTCCTAAGCATTGTTGCAGGATTTAGATAATATTTATTTATATGTCTGTACAAAGCATTTGGGTGGTAAGAATTGTACAGATCCTGAAGAGGCAGGTCCTGCAAAACATAGAGGGTCCCAGAAAGTTGATTGTTCTGCAAGAGTCTGCCAAAATAATAATAATAATAATAATAAATAACACAACCTCATTGAACAAATAGGAAAATATAATCTATTAGTAGCAAGAAAATTTACTCACAATGTGATAAGAGATGATAAACTCCCTGTTGAGGAAGGCAACTGACCACTCAAGTTGTTACTTGAAAAATCCCTGCAGGATAGCACAAGATTTCTATAAATAGTGAATGGAATAAAAACATAGAAATGTCACTGTGATTTGAAAACATTTTCTTACATCATAATCAAGCCAGTAAGCTGATGAAATACATCTAGGATTTGACCATGTAAAAGGTTATTTATTAATAATCTAAGGGCAGTAAATTATCTTTCCAAATGGAGAAACATTATGGACAATAATAACAAGTTAATATGGCATCACAAGATGCAGATATGTTATGAACTCACAAGTGTGACAATTGAGTTAATAAGGATAAGGCATCTGGAATGCTTCCAGTTAACTGGTTTCCTGAAAGAGACCTAAATATTAAAAAGAAACAAAAACTGGTTAACCATACTTGTACATATAGATTTGGCAACAGACGATTTACTAAATACAACAAAAAAAATCATGAATTTAGAGATGATAATGATAACATACAAGTTCCTCAGAGTAGGAGGCAAAGTGAATGGAATGACCCCTTCAATGTGGTTGTTGCTAAGATCTCTGTGCAATTGTGAAACACAAAGCTTCATGAGGTTTCTAGTGCAAATAATTACACAATTACTGGTCAAGAGCTAAACTTTCCCAAACAACGAAAACAAAACTTACTCCTCTAATCACCAGTGACTTTTTGGTAAATAGGAGCCTAGTGTACATATTTTCAGTATTTCAATGGCTAATAAGGAAGCAGTTGCAACATAGCAGACCAACTCATTTTAAATCACAGTGGACATAGATACTACTGAAATTTAGTGATTCTGAAAGACAACAAATGTTTAAATGTGTAATCAGTAAACACAGGACAACATGTATCATTTATCTTGAAAAACAACACTTACATTTCTATAATGGATGGGAAATTCAAATTACTGCCCAGCTGTCCACCCAAATTCATGCCTCCGAGTCGTCTGTCAGCCCAAATAAAATTTTTACTGAGCCTTATCCCAGTTGTTTACATTCATTTCTATCAATCAAACAACTCAGGAAACAGTAAATGTAACATTTTCCTTTGAAACCAATTATCTAGAAAAGGAAAACAATAACACAATATTAACCAACAATAATTTAAGAAAGGGAGGATGGCCATACATGGAAGTTATGTTGGAGAAGACACAAGCCACACCTTGCCACTGTTCTAAACATGGATCTCCTCCCACAGGTTTCCACCCTTGAAGAGATGGTGAGCCCAGAGCAACATACAGACTATTGATTGCTGCAACTGTGACCATAAGAAATACTAAAATAGATTAGTCTATATAACTTCTGCACTTACATGCATGATATTTAACAAGTTGAGATTAACCATCAACTTTTTGAAGAAGCATGATTACTCAGAGAAAGCATTGGAGGATTTACTTAGTCGCGGTAAAAACTAAAGCATTATATAACATTAAAATAAAAATAAATAAACGGTCATTAGCTAAAACAAAAGTAAAAAGAAGAAAGAGTAAGAAACATTTTTTTTTGTTATTTATCTTTTGGTTATCTTACACCTTACCTAAGAAGGAAACATAGCGAGATAATCATAAACTTGAAAATAGAAATAAAACCAGGAAATGAAAAGCCTCTACAATACCATCAACAAGGTCAGTGTCCCCAACACAGAAAGTTCCAGTGAGAATCACCATGGAGGTGACAAAGATTCGTACATGCAACTCCAAATTCGAAGAACCCATTTGCTCAAAGGGACCAGTTCCCAATATTGCAGCCACAACAGCTATACTGAAGCAAGTGGAGCTCAAAACTTAAAAATTGAAGACACACTACATAACAAGACAAAGGAAGAAACTTTGAAAAGAATATGAGCTAATTCTGAGAAAGTAAACAAACCCTTTGCAGAACAGAGCCAAATAAACGGGAAATGAGCTGCGAAACGGTCTAAAATGGCAAAGAAAAAAATGGGGCATGCAAGGAAAAGTTACAATGTCACAAGGATGGGATAGTTGTAGAAACAGCGTACGTCGTACAAAAGCACATACGTATACAGATACAGCGACTATGTATGTCTCTACAGGAAGCAGTGTTTGTTTCACTCACTGAGTCACTATGTCCTGTCCTGTTCTGCTTTCCTTTCTCTTTCTCTTTCTCTTTCTCTGTTCCCAAAAGCAAAAAGACCAACCGAGCGTTTTAATGAGCCATGATTCAAAAACATTTTACGAGGGCTCCACCATATGCCACGTAAGATGACAGTCAGACTCAGACACAAACAGAATGATGGTATTTCTGCAACACATATATCACCCTATACCATATGTCATGTTTATAATTTTATTTAAAAAAATATTATTGGCAGTTAGCATTTTAATTTAAAATTGTGAGTATTATACCCTGGGTTTGGATTGGGAGAAAAACCAAAAATTTGATTTTGATTTTCAAAAAAAAAATTGGATAGAAATTTTAAAAATAAGAGAACAACAAATTTGTTTGAATATAATAAAATTTAAATTTATTAAAAAACTACAATTTATTATAAAAACATTATTAATAAATTTTCATAATTGTAAGATTTTTCATTATAATTATAAAGTAATTTAGAAATGAAAAGAAGTTGGATTTATTTATTAAAATGTCATTAATATATTATCATAATTATAAAATTATAAAGGAAAAAATGATGAAAATAAAAAATATTTTTAAGAAAATATCTCTATGTTACTTTAATATTTTAATTTTAAAATTAAAAAATAATTATTGTTTGAAAATTCTTTTTACAAAATAACCGTTTCAAATAATTTTTTATTTTTAATTTAAAAAATTTAAAAAAAATTATTAAAAAAAAATTAAATTGGCCCTTAATTTTTATTATAATATTTTTTTTTGTAATCTACAATTTGTTTTTATTTCTTCTGTTAAAATGCAATCGACCTTCCAAGTGTAGGGTTATTGTAAAATATTTCATAATTTAAAACTCAATAATCCGACTCATTAAAACTCAATATATATATATATATATATATATATATATATATAAAAGAAATTAATTAACACTATTATGCGTTTTTTATTAAATTTAAAAAATCGAATTGCTTATTTTTGAATTATAATGATTTTATACTATTGTCATGTAATTGGAGGAGATTGCATGCATTTTAGCATCTTTCATGTAAGGGATTAGTGTTTGTCCTTTTAAAGAATATAAAATTATGTTATTTTAATCAAAATTAATATATTTTGTCATGAGAGAAACAAAAATAACGATGGGAGAAAGTGTGAATTTTTTAATTTAAATATTAAATAATTTTTATTAATTTTAACTAAAATGATTATTTTTTTATAAAGACAAACATTTTTCTCTTCATGCCAAATGTGCCCGAAAAAGAAGAGTAGAGCAAACGAAGCATGTCCAAAAGTAAACCAACCTCTTGGACTGCTACGAAAAACACCATCCAATTTCAAAGTAGCACGATCTAATTCAAAAATTTCACCTAATTGAGCGCTGAGAGAGATGTTATGACTCAATTTTTTGTTCATGTCTTTCATCTCTTATCTTAATTTCTTCCATAAAGGAGTCGAATCAAACAAAAGTTTCACCTTCGATTTTGAATCAGAGACGTTGAAAATGATGAATGAACCTTTTATTTTAAATTATAAAGTGTATCCTGAGTCATAAGTTGCCCTAATAAATGCAATATACCCTTTTTACCAAAAAAATAAAATTTGCAATATACCGTACTACTTGTTTTCTCATTTTTCTAGTTGCCCTTTGCTTTGGTAAAAGATTTCATGAGGGTTGGTTGTGACTTGTGACTAGACAAGAACCTATATGGTTGGTGCATGGATGATTAGCCAAATAGGGATAAAAATAATAATTCACAAGTTTAATCAATCCGGATTAAGTGTGGCAAAGTACAATTTCCATTTCCGTGAAGATCACATTTCGCACTTTCAGCCTCCAATTGCTTGATATAGTCTTTCAATGCCGTAAACGAAACCATGTAGCTGGTTATGGGAAGCACCAAACGTTTCTGATTCTTAACTGCTTGATCTTGATTTTCCAACTGATGTTTTTAACTTTTACCGGATAAAAAAAAGAAAGTATCCTATTTATTTGGATTCCTTGGGATGTTTTGTAATTGTACCCTCTCTAATATATTACATTGTTTGAGAGTTAGAAATTAATCAGTTAAAAAAAAAAAACAGAAAATCTTTTAAGTTTCATGTGCAACATCTCATAATAATTTGACTTATAAAAGCTAGAAAGAGCAATTTTTGTGGAATTTACACTTTGAATGGAATCAACATAGCACCCTGAATTCCAATCAATGGCCACCGGCCAGTTTATAGTGACTATAGTAAAGTATTACATCTTACACTAACTGGGAGGAGAGGACTAAACTGAAATGACCAGTTCTTATGCTTAATAGTAATAATGGGAAAGTCCAATTGATTGACAGATTCAGCTTATTGTCCATAAAAACTTAATTCAATGCTGATTGCATAATACATTCATTCATCGCCTCATTAATCATTCAGCTTTGATTTTGAAGCAAACAGGGACAGCATATCAAAATTTGTGATAAGTCAATGTTTTTAGTGGTTAGTATGATGAAACAAATACCAATTCATTAAATAAAATGAAAGAAAAAAGAGAGGAAGGAAATGCAAGTTTTGCAGTTAGTCGATGTGCCTGCCAACTTCTTTCTCTTAACAGCTTTGATTATAGACTGTGTAGCTGAATGTTAAATTCCTATATTCTCATTACAAGTCTTAAGCATTAGAAGCAAAAAAAAAAAAAAAAAAGAACTCCAGATCTGATACTGATTTGTCTTGGCATTTATTTATCTACTCAGACTCGATCAATTTCATCATGTTTGGGACACTTCAACTATTTTTTTATCTTTGTTTTAATTTGGTCTCTGGTGTTCTCTTATGGTTATACAATTGATAACTATTTTTTAATAAGGAAATGTAACATAAATTTGTATGTACGGCCAAGTTTCTTCTTGTCATATTCTAACATTTTCTAAAATGTGTATTAAGTGTATCTGATATCTGTTTAAAGGTACATACTTATCAGCATGTGTATTCCTTTTAAAGACTTCACTTAAAAGAAAAGCCTAATTAATTAAAGGGTTTATTTTTTTTTTTTTGCAGTTACTGCAGATAAATTATCTGCAGTAAGTCTATTACGACATCGTTTTGGGACGAAATCATAGTATTTTTGTAATTTTAATTTATTTCAGGGTTATAATAGTCTTTATATTTATAATTTTTAAAGATTTCAATACCAAAACGACGTCGTTTTGGGACTAAATACAAATATCTTATCTGCTGCAGAAATATTTTTCCCTTAATTAAATTAAGAGGTTCTAAATTACATCCTGATTCCTCTAGGAATTTACATGTGGTGGATTTTGCAGAATGAGTGCTGATTAAGAATAAGATCTTAACTTAAGCTAATTTCCGCAACTTAATTGGAGTGATTTAAATTTCTTCCTTAATCTAATTTTTCATTTTGTTGTACATGAATTTTGAGATTGTAAATGTTTTGTTTGTTTGTTTGTTAATGGTTATTACATGCTAATAACATATTTATTGTTGAATTTTTTGTTTGAACATTATTTTTCTTACAATGTTTCTCTACAAATTAATCTTCGCTTGTAATACCAAGATTGTTCTTCCTTATAACCTTACATTTGAAGCATTCATTGTGCGTTTTTTTGTATGATAGTTTAGTTATTTTAATTTGTTGTCCAAGAATTTTTCTTCTTAAGTAAAAATATATTAAGAGCCTATTTGGATCCTCTTTTTTTGAAGCTAAAAGCTACTTACAAGCTAAAGTTAAAAATAAGAGCTTAAAAAATCTAAAAGTTGTTCGGTAATTACATAAAAATTTTAGCTTAAAAGCACATATTTCAAGAAAATTATATCTTTCTCTTTATAACTCTTCATTTTTTTTAAAAAAAAGCACACAATTCAAGAAAAGCAGATAAGAGCTTAAAAAAAAGCTTCTCCTAAGAGCTTTTAACTTTCAATTTTTTTCTTCATTATAAAAAAAAAAGAGTTTTTCGTTATAAGAGCTTTTCCCAAAACTTGTTTGGCCTAACTTATGTTTATAAGTAGCTTTTAGCTTAAAAATAAGAGGATTCAAACACGCACTAAGAGCATGTTTGGATCCTCTTATTTTTAAGCTAGAAGCTACTAAAGCTAAAAAAGAGAACTTAAAAAAAGAAGCTAAAAGCTGTTTGGTAATCACATGAAAGTTTTAGCTTAAAAGTTACTTAAAAGCACATATTTCAAGAAAATTATCTCTCTCTATCTTTATAACTTTTTATTTTAGAAAAAAACACATAATTCAAGAAAAGCAGACAAAAGCTTAAAGAGTTATAAAGATAGAGAGAGAGAGATAATTTTCTTGAAATATGTGCTTTTAAGCTAAAATTTTCATGTAATTTTCAAAGAACTTTTAGCTTCTTTTTTTAATCTTATTTTTTTAGCTTTAATTTATAAGTAATTTCTAGCTTAAAAAAAGAGAGGATCCAAATAGGCTCTAACACTTTCCTAGTAAACTTGAGTGCCGAGCACTGGATTTGCCAAAGCTTAAGGTCCAGTAGACTTTGGACCTTAACGCGGGGCCACTTGTTATGGGCCAAGGATCGTTCTAATTGGGCCTGTTCATGCCCTAGAGAGGACTATGTATATTCCCTTTCGAGCGGCCCAGTGGGCTCTCAGTTTA